CTTTGCCTGAGGAACCCTTATTCATCATCAAGGAATAAACTGAACAGGCGAGTCTCAAGAACTTGCCCTCTTTGTCACAGCCATCCCCAAAATCTTGACTTCGTACTAATTTGAGATATTACCACAATCCTTATCATAATTTATCATAAACCTTTGTAATTATCCCTTTATTGACATACAATGTACTATAAATGGCTCAGAGAGAGATCTGTGGTTAAGAGCACCCGGTGCTCTTCCCAGCATCCACATGAAGGTTTGTAACAATCTGTAACTCCAGTTCCAGGGGACCTAACACCTTCTTCTGGCCTCTGCAGGTATCAGGCATGCACATGGTACACAGGTACACATACAAGCAAAATACTCTCACACATAAAATTAAAATAAAAAAACAAACAAAACACCTACAAAGGTGTTCAGTTTAGAGGCACATGACTGAGTAGCTTCGAATGTATTGTAAAAATAATGCAAGCATTGTCAATTACTATGTATATATTTTACCACCCATGAAAGGTACCTCACTTACATTAGCAGCCATTCTCCAATTCAATCCCTCACTCCAGTGCTTTGGCAACTGTGCATTAACTTGTCTTATGGATTTACCTATTCTGGGCATTTTACATAAATGTATACATTTATAGTTCTATTTGTTACTTTTCAATTGCTGTGGCAAAACATTATGACCAAGGCAACTTATTGAAGAGTGTACTTGGGCTTACAGTTCCAGAGGCTTAGAGACCATGATGGCAGAGCTGAGTCTTGGTGGCAGGAGCAGGCAGCTGAGGGCTCGCTCACATTTTGAACAGCAGTCACGAGACAGAAAGAGCGAACCAGAAATGGTGTGAGCCTTTACTTCCCAAGTGTTGGAACTAACCGTGTATGCCACCATACCCAGCAACATTTCATCTTTATCAATTTTTCAGCTTTACAAAGTATTTCAGTCATCAATCGGTGGTTTATATATAACCAGAAGCTAAGGGGAAGGTAGCTATTATTTCTGACCATTACTGGAGGGATAGCTTTCCAGTGTGGGAGGGGTAATTCTCATTCCATTCCATGTATCTGAAGTGTGGTGGAGAGGTACGTGCCGTGGCCCTCGTATGGAGGTCAGAGGATAACGTGCGTCAGCAGTGCTCCCCTCTTACCTTGGGGGTCCTAGGGACCCTACTCAGGTTGTCAGTCTTGGTGGTAAGTGCTCTCATTGGCGGAACCAGCTCACTGGCCCTAGTACTTGTTTTTTTGAGACAGGGTCACATCGTATTGCCCAGGTTGTTCTCAAGCTTGTGGGTTCAGGCTATTCTTCTGCCTCTGCCTTCTGTGTAGCTAGAACTACAAGCATATGCCACCATACCTCACCTTTGTCACTTGTTAAGACAGAAGCAGTAGAAGAGGGTAGACTTATGCTAAATAATAATAACAATAATAATGGATGTGAGGGGAAATGTGTATACTTATAACTTTGATGACAGTGTTAGAACCCACCCCCAGGGCCATTATTTCCTCCAAGGCCACAATTCCTAAGCCTCCCCAAACAGAGCCATCAACTGGGAACCAAGTATTCAAATGCCCAAGACTGTGGGACCATCTCATTCAAAGCACGGAGGGCTTTTGTGTCTAGTTCCTTTCATTTCCCCTGTTCTCAAGGCGTATCTGTGCTGAAGCACGTAACAGCATATTGCATTTTCATAATGGAATAATACTCAGTTATACTTATATATCACATTTTTAGCCATTTATCAATTAGTAGGCATTTGGAGTGTTTCCCCTTTGAAGCTACTATGAATAATGCTGCTTTCAATATTCATGAATGAGTACTTACCTGCCTATGATTTCAGTTCCCTTGGGTATAATCTTAGGAGTAAAATTGCTGGGCCATATGGTAAGAATCTGTTTAATTTTTTTTTTTTTTGAAAAATTGCCAAGCTGTTTTCCATTTTCCATTCCCACCAACGATGTAATTTTATTCACCTAGTCATCAGACTCCTTGAGAGCAGTGACCAAGTCTTGTACTCCGCTCTGGTCCCAGAACCTGGCAAAATGCCTAATGCATATGGCTGTCTATGAATTTTTGCACATGATTAAAAACTCAAATTCTTTTTTCATATTTTTCATTCTTCTGTGACTACCCTCATGAAAATATCCCTTCCCATGGTATTTAACATCCATCTCTCCAGACTCTTTTCTCCAGTGAGGAAGGTATTATAAGTAAAACACTCCAACACATCCACACCTGGCTGCTCTACCATTGCTAAACCAAGAGAACTGTAGCATGGTTGTAGCATCTCATCTGCAGACTAGGGAAGTGAGCACACTTCTGAGCATGCATGTCTAACAGTAGATGCCATCAAGGATTTCTAACTTGGCACCAGTTGCTGTTAAGACTTAAGCATTGGTGGCGCACACCTTTAATCCCAGCACTTGGTAGGCAGAGCCAGGTGGATCTCCGCGAGTTCGAGGCCAGCCTGGTCTCCAAAGCGAGTTCCAGGAAAGGCGCAAAGCTACACAGAGAAACCCTGTCTAGAAAAACCAAAAAGAAAAAGAAAAAAAAAAAAAAAAAAAAGAAAAAAAAAAAGACTTAAGCCAATATTCTTAGCTCTAGGCCTCCCTCTGCTGGCCGTGGCGTCAACAACACTAGAATGGATTTTGCAGGGAAAAGAACAAAGTGACTCCCGCATGGGACAGGAGGCACCATATGGGACACATCCATAACAAAGACAACCAGAAGAGATCACAGATGAAAGGACCTTCCTTTCCTAGAAGCTCTGGGTGGGGACGGGCCTCCCAAGACTGGCACTTGAGCGGTCTGATGACTTCCAGCTCCGGACAGTTAAAGAGACCATCACATAGAAAAATCCACTTTAATCCTCAAACGCAAAAACGGACATGTGACAGGGACAAATCTTAAACTTTAAACATGACCAACTCTTCTCAATATGAAATAGTTTATGTCTCTTATAAAATGACATAAATATAAATAAATTCTGTCTCTCCCTGTCTCTATCTGTCTGTTTGTCTGTCTGATATCTCATATCAGACATACATAGCCGGGTGGTGGTGGCACACACCTTTAATCCCAGTACTTCGGAGGCAGAGGCAGATGGATCTCTGTGAGTTCAAGGCCAACCTGGTCTACAGAGCGAGTTTCAGGACAGCCAGGGCTACACAGAGAAAGCCTGTCTCAAAAAACCAAACAAAAAAAAACAAAACAAAACAAAACAAAACAAAACAAAAGACATACACAATTTACACATACAACTTGCATAGTTACAAATTAATAAGACTGGAGACTGAAGTGGCCAACTCTGTGTAAGTTACTGAGGGTTATGTGAATCACCCGTGACTGGTAGAATTTTCCTTTAAGGATGACAATTCCCTATTGCCAAGAGTTTGTTACATTCGGAGAGGGACCTTACATAGGTGATGAAGGTTAGATTTGGAAATCAGAAGATGATCCTAGATCATCTAGATGGGTGTACTGTCATCACAGGGATTATTAAAGGAGAGAACATTTTCCTGCCAGATCAGGAAAGAGAACACACAAGAGAAAGCTGGAAAGATTTCAAAGGTGGCCCATTACTGCTGGAGGGAGAGGGAGGAGCAGGAATATGGACAGCTTCTAGCAGAAAAGAACAGATCCCACAACAAATAACAAAGACATGAAGACCACAGCCCCAAAATCACAAACAAAAACCTGATTGACTGGGCTTCAGCTCCAGAGCCTGGTCCAGACAAAGATTTAGCCTAAGCAATAGCAGATTCCAGTCTTGTGATGTACTGAGTAAGACTGTCACACTGACGGCAGAAATTATGAATATGTATTATAGTGAGCCTCTTGAGATTATGCGTTATGGATACAACGGAAAGCATGAATTGCTGAATACCAATGGGTTAAAATATAGGATTACATAGTTCTGAAACAATAATCACTAAAATGGCCATCTAAAACTGCACCTTCCCAGAACCCATGCATCTCTCAGTGCATCTTATTTATAAGTACATGTGAATTTCTAATGATAATTACTGGGTATTTTTAAAAGATCTTATTTAAGAATAATTCAGTATTTTCTAAACAGTTATCATGTCTAACACTTAAAATTTAGTGACGCTTTTAAATTAAGTAGACAGTTGTTTTATCAACAATTTTTAAAACTGTCTTACCAGTTTGATGCAACTCACCTTAGGAAAATGTCTTTTCATTGCCTGTCTGTGTGTATACACACACGTGTATATGCAGACACGAGAGCTCATGTGTGTGCAAGTGCACTTACACATATGGGCATGTGCATGTGGATGCCGGAGGGCAGCCTCAAATGTTGTTCCTCAGTTTTGCCAGCTGGTTTTATGAGACTGGGTCTCTCACTGTTTTAGGATTAGGCCTCAGGGAACTGCCCATCTCCCCTGGCCCAATACTGCCATTACAGACACACAGCACATGCTAAGTTTTTCACATGATTCTGAGGCTCTAACTCAAGTCATCATGCTTTCACAGCAAGTCCTTTCCCAAATGAGCTTCCTCCCCAGTTCCTAATTACCTATGTCCATATGTTTCATTCAATCCATATTTTACATTACCTACAGTATTCATATTAACAAAAGACAATTACTGTCTTTACATGAATCAATGTTTGAAAAGTTCAAGAACATCAACAATGCCAAGGTTTATATGCTTCAAAAGTACAAAGACTTCTAAGGCAAATGTCACATATTTTTCATTTGTAAATGCATAAAACCAGTGCTAGCGGGTTACTTTTTAACATGACTTTATTGATATAACGACCATATTTTGGAATTTGCATTTCTTGAGTTAGGAGATCAAACTGGCACACAGTGTTACTGCAAGCATGTGATGGTCCCTCTGCATCCCAACTGTAGGTTCAGGTTTGAGACATCTCAAGTCTTACTACTCCAAGCAACGTTTCCAAATTATCATCATAGGGAGAGGTTGGCTTTTCCCAGATACTCTGGAATGTAACAAAATCTAGATGTGGAACATGGACACTTACTTTTTCTGGGTTCTTTCAGCCAGTCTTGCAATATCTATAGCTGCTTTTCTTGCTTCGAAATCTTCCCTTTTCACGATCTCCCCTGTCCCTCGGTAGCCTAGCTCCACCAACTGGCGGGCCAAGCTTTCATCCTAAGGGGAAAACCAACCAGCAGATGTCTGGGTGAATTGTCTCCAATGTACACAAAACGATTGTTTAAATTAAGTGTTCTTTTTTAAAAGGAGACAAGAGCTATTACACATTCGAAACTAGCCTCCCGACAGTACAATTAGACACATTTGGTCTTCTCTTTTAACCAGAGATAGAAGATGAAAAGAGAAACAGCATCAACCACCAACTTTTCTCCAAGGGATGGAAGAACAAAAATCTGTTGTGTTTTTAAACAATTTATGCAAGCAGCAGTAGACAATTAACAGTGTATCTTTAAAGCAATATAATTAGAGACAATAGTGTGCCTGAAAGAAATGCTCAGAGAGTCAACTGCACACAAAGAGAATGGGTTGCTTTCAAAGTGCTTGGTGCTTCAGACTCGCTTAAGTCAATTAGCTGATGACACAGAACAGTATAACTTCAAATGCAACTAAAGAGGAGCAGATTTATTTCCTACTTAGCCAGAAAGATATTGTTCCCATATAATGATGGGACCAATAAGAACAGAAAAGTAGACACCCAAGAAGATAGCCACAAAATGCCTAAAGTTGATGGAAACAAATTTCCCCACAGTATTTTAGGCCTGTCATATTTAAGTTACTTTAAGAATTGCATCATGAATGTTGTTATGTGCATGGCATACTCAAAAAATAATACTTGTTTTCCCATGGCATAAAGAGGTATTGTTTTATATGACATTAAAAATATAAACTATTAAACAAAATATTTATCAACAAATAATCACATGAAATGAAAGAAACACTTCAAATACAATGAAAACAGCATATATTATATTTTAGATGTCAGTAATGGATACATGACTAACAATTAAATACAAACATGAAGAATGCTAGATTACTAATCTATTCTGCCCCACAAATAACTTACACATTAACCCTGTTACTTGACTAAGCATTAAAGCAAACTCCAAGCTCCATAGGACAGCCTGCACACACTTACTAGGCCACGCCAATACAAAGCTTCAGGCCTAGGAGCATCAAGGCTGCTACTCTGTTCCAGATGTTCTCCTTAATAGATTTTCCTATTGCTGTTTAGTTACTGTGAACCACAAAACTGAGCAAATGCCTCCACCTAGTGGAATTAATCTTTAGTAGAAAAAGCAATACAGATTTGAGGTTTGCTTTCAAACCTGATTTGAGTATAAACTGCCTTAAATATACTGCTAAAATGAGTTTGCAGACTCTGCTCATCAAGACAGGAAGACTCCTCCATCACAGTATACTTTTCTTGTGATCAACACAGAATTTTACATGCTGAGAACCTTTGAAAAGTTTTTGTATTTACTTACACACTAAATTTTGCATGCCTTTATGTCTTAACTCAGTTATACAAAACCATTTGGATAGTTCTGAAACGAGCTATATATATAAAAAGAAACCACTATCTAAAAGAATATTATCTAACTATAAAATGTATATACCAAAGAAAAATCAGAATAGCAATCCAAAGATCATTTTAAATTGTATGTGATTTCTCTTTTCTCTGGCCTAGGATTCAGAAACGTGATACCCAGGTCATGAGAAGGGTAATGGCTAGCCACAAACTTCACAATGTAGCAGCTACTGCTAGATTCCTTATATGGCTCCTTCTTTACCAGTGTAAAATGATTGTTGAAAAAAACTGCAAGACATGGGACAAACACATCACCCAAATGATAAATCACGAATGATCTTGCAACTCAGAGATAACCACTGAGACTCAGAGGAAGAGCCTCCCAGTCATTGCTCTTGGCATGTGTCTGAACATGCTAGGCTTCCGTGAACAAAATTAGTCAAATGTTGAGTAAAGCCTCTCATGCCCCATTTCTTTAAATTTAATAACATATCTTGGATGCCTTTTCATGAAATATACATATAATAAAAATTTGACAATCATGCATTCCCTGACTCTGTGAGTAAAGGTACTACACATAGTTCATTACTGTGTCTTCCGTTTCTTGCCTCCCATGATGGGTAGTGATGGGTATGGCAGGTTTCCTTTGTTTCTTTACTGCTCAGCACTTCAAAGACATCATTCTGTTACCTGGTGGTGTGCACTGATTCTGAGAAGTGTGCAGTCAATAGTTATGGGTCTTTTCTAAACTCTTTTACTCTTTTGGGGGCCCACCACCCAGCTCCCAAATAAATCACACAGAGACTAATTCTTAACTATGAATGCCCAGCCTTAGCTAGCCTTGTTGCTAGCCAGCTTCTCTTAACTTAAATTATCCCTTTTGCCTCTGGGCTTTTCCTGTTCTCTCACTTCTGTAAATCTTACTCTTACTCCATGTCTGGCTGTGTAGCTGGGTGACTGGCCCCTGGAGTCTTCCGCCTTCTCTGACTACTTCTTAATCTTCTTCCCAGATTTTTCCTCTATAAATTCTCTCTGCCTGGCAGCCCCACCTATTTCTCTCTCCTGCCTTGCTATTGGTCATTCAGTTCTCTATTAGACCATCAGGTGTTTTAGACAGGCAACGTAGCACAGCTTCACCGAGTGAAACACATGAAAAATTAAAAAAAGTAACACACCTTAAGATAATATTCTACAATTACTGCCTTTGTTTTCCTCCACACGCTATCATGCTGCCTTGGCTGCACTGAATCCTCATCTTTATGATCGACTGTTAGTGAGTTCAGGAAGCTCTTCCTTAACGTGGGTTTCTCTTGTGTTTATTAGGCTTAGAGTCTGTTGATGTTCTTGGTTTTGTACACTTATAACTTCATAAAACTGTTATCTTTTCAAATATTTCCCCCCACTTCTTGTGAACACCACTTTCATACACTTTAGAGTCTCTGACAACATGCACACATTGACAACATTACCTCAGGGATGCTCTCTTTGTTTTTGTTTACTGTATGTCTTCTGTTGATATCACAGTGTTTATTGTTAGTGCATGAATTATTTTTAGCTCAATCCTTATTGCCTTGTTAAACTCATGTTTTGTTCTAATCAAGTTTCAACCAATTTTCTTGCATTTTCCCCCCATATTCTGGCTTCTTCTAAATAGGTGTGACGTTTTCTTTACACTGAAGCATGGTGTTATAACAGCTAGACTGCCAATAGCAGATAAAGTCATCGGGTTTCTGTGGTGGTATTGTGTTCTCCAAAATATTGTGTACCCTAATAAACTTATCTGGGGTCAGAGGACAGAACAGCCACTAGATACAGAGGCCAGAAAATGGTGGCACACACGCCTTTAATCCTATCACTTGGGAGGCAGAGATCCATCCAGATCTCTGTGAGTTTAAAGCCACACTGGAAACAGCCAGGCATGGTGACTCATGCCTTTAATCCTGGAAGTGATGGCAGGAAGCAGAAAGGTATATAAGGTGTGAGGACCAGGAACTAGAGCCTGTTAAGCTTTTAGGCTTCGAGCAGCAGTTCAGTTGAGATTCATTCTGGATGAGGACTCAGAGACTTCCAGTTTGAGGAAACAGGATCAGCTGAGGAATTGGCAAGATGAGGTAGCTGTGGCTTGTTCTGCTTCTCTGATCTTCCAGCGTTCACCCCAATACCTGGATCCAGGTTTGTTTTTATTAATAAGATCTGTTAAGATTCGTAGTACAGGTTTCTAACCTGAATATGAACTGGATATTTAAACAGAATTAAATAATCTACAAATGTTTTTAAATAGTCTATCAAATTATCAAGGTAGACTTAGAACTGTGTTCAATGCTTTTTCTGCACCTACAGGAATCATAATTTTTTCTTCTTCAATTTGATCTATCAATGCTTTAACTTGGTTATTTAATCTTTAACAATTTCATATCGTGCATACCTTGATCATATCCATCCCCTATTCCCCCTTACTCCTCCTGGACACCCCACAGCATGTTCTCCCCCTACCTACACATCCTCCCCTCTTGTCTTTTTGTAAACTCCCCAGATAAGTTTATTAGGGTACACAATATTTTGGAGAACACAATACTACCACAGTGTCCCTGAGTCCCATTGGTGCTGTGTGCTGGCATATTGGCTGCTCTTATCAGTTTGATCCTGTGCAAGTAACTGTAACTGTAGTGAGTTTGAGTACAGCAGCCATGTCATGTTCAGAAACAGCAACTCACCACACATACACACACACACACACACACACACACACACACACACCACTTGCTCTTCTATCCCTTTTACTCTCCCTTCCACTGTTTCCTGAGTCTTAGGGGTGTTCGAATAGATGTCCCACTTGGGGCTGAGCGCTCAACAGTCATTTATTCTCAGCACATTGAGCAGTTAGGCGTCTGACTTAAAGGCTTCCCCTGCAGAGGCACCGTCTCTGGCCAAAGTTAAGAACCACACTAATTTATGGGGGAAAAGAAATGTATTTGGAAAGCAATTTGACAACATTGCCATTCAGCACAATAGGAGTAGGTTCTCCTGTACAGCCTGTGTCCTCCTGAGCCTTGGGATTGTGACTGGCTTACAATAACAGACATGAGTCTCCTCCTGTGGAGCCGGCCTCAGATCCCCATAACCTTCACGCCACTTCTGTACAGGGCCCCTTGCCTGAAAGGTCGGTATTGCAGCATTCAGGTTTCAGTGACGACTTTCCTCCCCCAGAACCCTGCGTAGCACCTTCTAGAACTGTCAGCAGGAAGGATGTTTGGGGGTAAGTTTCAGCTTGAATTTCTTTACCTCCTGCAACTGTAGTAGATAATGCCTTCAGGAAGAACATCAACTGACCATCTACTTAAAAGTGTGGCTGGGACATCTGCAGCCTCTCCAGTCAGTAACAGGTTTTCCAAGCTAGACACTGAGATTTCCATTTAATAACCCATGTCTTACCATGAAGATTACTGGTATTCTAACTCCTTCTCTCTTTTTAATTTAATTTTTATTTAATTATATTTTTAACTAGGTTGTAGAATACTAAGTTTCCATGTGAGTTTTCCAGATATCTTTAGTTTGGGTTAACCTATCCATTCTTTCCTTTCTCTTACCCCACCCCCCACCACATCCCTTTTAAACCTTCAATCCCAGG